TCTGCCTCGGGACTGACTCCTGAGGAGCCGCGGCCGCCATTGCTGTGGGGCGGAGCCGCCATTGCTGTGGGGCGGGGCCGCCGGCGCCCATCGGCGGCGCCCATTGGCAGCGCGGGTCGGGGGCGGGGCCTGCGGCGGGCGGAACGCCCTATAAGGCTGCGGCCCGGGTAGAAAAACAGCATCAGCAGCGATGGCCGAGTGGTTAAGGCGTTGGACTTGAAATCCAATGGGGTCTCCCCGCGCAGGTTCGAACCCTGCTCGCTGCGGCCCGGATGGGCTTGGGCTTTTTTTTGTTCCTTGCCGGCCCTTTCCTATTCCTTGGCGTGTGCAAGTTTTACCGCTCCCGTCTCTGTCGGCCGAAGGCCTCTGCGGCAGCCAGAGCGATTTTCTGGGACGGGGCAGGTCGGAACGCAGGCTGAGCCCAGAGCACACGGCAGGATCGCGGCCGGACGCCTCCGGAATTTGGCCCATGGGAGAGTCTCCACAGCCTCTCTGGGCAGGCTGCTCCGGTGCTCGGTCACCGCTCTTCCCCGAGTTCAGAGGGGAGTTCCTGCGCAGAACTTTCCGGCCATTGCCTCTTGTCCCGGTGGTCCCGTTGCTGGGCACGAGGATGCACATACACACACACAATATGGAAAAACCCCACGGAAGTCATTATGCCATTAATAACCATGCAAAACAAAAGAAGGCACGTTCCCCGACTGTCTCTAATTGGCTTAAACTGAGCTCTCACGGCTCAGATGGCCTCAGCACTAGTGAAGGGCTGAAAAATTTGCAAAGTCAAGAAACAAAAAGCTGGAAATACGAAAAACGCTATTTCCACAGGGGTCAAAATAGGCCAGAGCAGCAACAACCACTTTTCACTCCTCTCTCCTTTAAAGACAAGAGAAATCCCAACACAAACATATGCAAACCCATTTCTTCTAGCATATTTTGCTAGTGCAACTTCATTTAATCAAGAAATAGAGGCAGGGAAAGAAGAACAATAAAGAACGAGGGGAACAAACAAAAGTTATTTAAGCTGGCAGCAAAAAGAACGCTTCCAAGTGCTCCCTAGTGAGGTTCCTGGGGATTTCAGGCTTGGGTGTTTGTTTCTAACAGAAACATGCAAGTGCATTGGCACAGACAGGCCAAGGCTGGAGGTGGGGATCCTGGGGAAGGCTCAGATCCCTCGGAAGCGAGGGCCTCGAGCAGCAGAAGGCACCAAAGGCACCCAGACCCAAAAAGCTGCAATAGCCCCTTACCCCTCTGGCCATTCCTGCTCGTTCTTCATGTATTCACGGATATCAATCACACAAAGGCTGTGAGGAAGAGGAGGAGCTCACAGTCCTTCACCCAGCAAAAATCTGAGGGCTCCATGGAAGCTCTCAGCTGGCAAAGGGGTAGCTCTGACAGTCTGAACAAAGTAAACGTAGTCTGTGGAAGGAGTGATGGCCGGAGTCAAACTGCATCTCCTCAGAAAAGCTCTGCCCTTGCTGCCAAGAGAAGCACTTCTGACAAAGCAGCAAGTAAATTGTTTTATTGAAAATGTTGAGAACCACAACACATGTCAAGTGTGAAAAACGAGGTTCACATCATTTTTATAGAATTTAAAAGTTTAATAAAGAGAAGACAATTAGGAGAAAAAAATAAAGTATACAGATGTGACTGGGTGTGTCTGCATTCAGCCAAGAGAGCACACCTTACTGACAAAGGATTGTCCCTTAAAAACAGAACCCTCCTACATATCCATAAATTCTCATACATATTCATACATTCTTCTTAGGATCTTTGGTGTTCTTCTGTTTAGTTTTCTCTTGCCCCCATCCCCACAGATCAATCTTCTTGGCACCATCGAGATTTACATTCTCTGATACCAGAAATGCAATAAATTCCTCCCCCCAGAGCTCTGGTCACTGCTGTCTTCATCTGGATAAGAGAGTTTACAAAAGAAAAAAAGGGGCTGTAGCTATCTTTTTCAGTCTTTGGGTTATACAGACAAAAGCAGTTTTTATTTTAATGCTATGTCATAGCTTAACATACATGTATTATACTACTATTTCTAACAGAAATAAAGGAAACTATATTAATACAACAAAATTTCCCATTCTTATACACATAACATTCATTTTAGCATTTGTGAAAAGCCAACAATATAATATGTAACTATAACATCAAGACTGGAAACTTTCTGAAGGTCTGCAGCAAATTTTATTTTCTAGAAGGAACCCTCTCCTTTACTGCTCTGCCAGATGGTGAGAGAAAGAGCAAACCCCTGTGAAGACGGAATGGAGGAATGAAAATTCATTTTCTGCAGCTTCCACCGGGTGTGACAGGTTAGAGCCATCAGAGCCCGAAGTGAGAGCTCCCAGTTGTGCCGTGACTCAGACACGAGCCCTGCAGAGCCCGAGCGAGGGAGGTGAGGTTAACACAGCCAAGGGGACAGCACAGGGAGCCTTGTGCCAACAGCAGGGGGAGTGTGTGCACCGGGCTGCAATAAAAACACCCAGCAGAAACCAACTGATAATCATCTGCCCATCCTGCAGTGAGTGACACAGCCCAACAACCCACCCAGTGGCTTTATCTTCCGCTGTGTAATTTCATCAGCTTTACAACAGCCTCGCTGCTTACACTTTCATATCCTGAAATGAGAGATGAGCCTGCTGGGAAGATGAGATAGCAATGTTGGTGCTCAGGAAATTAAAGATACACAGTATCTCTTTTAATAATCAGGATACTTGCTTCTATTATAGAACATATAAACTGCCTTTCTAAAAAATCTCATTTAAAGAGGAAAAAAAACAATCAAGGAATGACTGTACCTATCATCCAGCATTACTCAGCCTGAGATTTTAAGTCATATACTGTCAGTATTCATCATCCAAACTAACTCATACACTGGCACTTGGCAAATACTGGCAAAACAAAAAAAGGTTGAGAATGGTTTTATTCTTGACAATCTTCTATATTCTGCACTTGCACAAGTATAAAGGCTGCAAATAAAGATATAATAATTTTATATAATTCCAGAATCCCCCATGCTATTTAGTTTCAGTGTAAGTAAGTGGATAATTGGTTGCTTATTTTCTGTTTGAAATAGCTTCAAAGACCTAGAAACATGGCACTGAGCAACTTTTATCACCATTATCACCATCCACCTGCACCCCAACCTGCTGTCTCCTAACTTCCAGGTGAAAACTCCTCAGCCTTCCCAAGTCCAGTAAAAGCCAGGCTTTAGCAACACTTTTCCCTGGACTCCAGAGGACCTGGGCTCACCTCATCACTTGATTTATTTTCATACGAAATCACTCAGAGCTACAGCACAGTAAAAATCAGAGCCCTCACGTACCCAAAACATTCAGGGCCCTTTAGTGCCCACCTAAGCACTCACAAGGGGAACAAAAGACAAAAATAGAAGCTCACCATGCCTTGCAGAGAGCTGCCCTCCTCTCAGGCCCAGATCTAATAAATAGTGTCTGGGCTTGTTGCTGTTGTTCCCCACCCACACTGACAACCCTTTGCTGCTGTTTCCACTCTGCAAAGAGAGATTAAAAATCTCAGTGGGCCCCTGAAACCCACAGACTCCTCTGTTTGCCTCAGTCACACCTTGGCAGAGCCCAAGATCCACCTCACCAGCCCTGCCCCAGCTGAAGATCCAGCAGGTGAATTATGTTTGGTGCTCACCGGTGCAGGGGCCAAAGCACCACATTATTATTTATCAACTGGGACATTCGCTGCATCTTCTCATCCTACCAGCAAAAAACTTCTACACAAAAACTTCTACAAAAGTGCAATCTATTTAAAGAAACAGATGAGCAGGTTGTGCTTGGGGTGTGATCTAACACTGACCAATTTGTCAGGTGCATGTTTCTTTACTTTCTAATGTGAGAGAGAACTGGGCTGCCCACTCATTCCAATTAACTGTTGTTACTGGCCAACAAGTCAGGTCCCTCATGGTTTTGGGGAATAAAAAGCAAAACAGGCTACACAGGCTCCTCTTGTTTTCCAAACCATCTGGGTTTGCTCTGTTAGGAACAGTTTCATTCAATTGAAGAAATACAGACAATTGGACCATTTCAAGTTTAACATTTACAGAAATAGGGGGGGAAAAAAATTGGTATTGGTAGCCTTGGTGTACTGGAGCACCAGTTAGAACCTGCCCTCCTGGTGAGGGCAAATACAAATTACAGGACTGATCTTGAGCAGGTTGTTGCAAAACAAAACTTTTGCCATGAGCTTGTCCTGGCCTAAGAGCCTTCCAAATATCTGCAATTATTCATCCAGAACAAACATCCAAAGGTTCTTTGCCAAAACCAACCACGCAATGATTGGCTAATAATGACATCAGTTTAATGACACAGACTATTAGTTTGCTGTTCAAAGGTCTATTGTATGTTCACTTCTCAAGGGAAAGCAGCTCGTTAGGTGCTAAATGATCCATCCATCCATCCATCCATCCATCCATCCATCCATCCATCCATCCATCCATCCATCCCTTTTACCTTTACCAGCAAGTGAAATGGGCAGAGGAGAATCTGGGCTGCTGTCTGATTCCAAGTGCTCCAGCTGGCTGCATTCCCACCTTTTTGTTAGAGGGAAAATTGTTCCTTATTACTCGGTATCCTTCTCATACAGTAAGAGCTTCTTCTGTTACTACTGCTTGTCATTGTTTCCAGTCCCTCATAGAAAATGGACCACAAGTCTTTCTTGAGCAAACACCTTTGTATGAAGTAAAGCAGCAAATGCACTAGATAAAAAGCAAAGCAGTCATGTTTAACAGATGTTACAGAGAATTGTTTGTCTCATCTCTCTCGTGCACTGAGGCACGTTCCACCTTGGTGAAGCGGTGCACCAACAAGGATCCTTATTGAAATACTTGCCAGTGCCACTTCCCATTGCACTGCCCGGGATTCCTAACTGCACTCCTTAAGCTTTTACCCACTGATAACACAAGTAACAAGGAATTCCAAAGGAATCTCTGTGGTGGGGGGGGGATTTAATTAAAGGATGAAAGCAACCCCTTTTCTGTATGCATGAAGTTTTATTTGCTGCTGATGGAATCATTTGCCTGCACAAAACCACAATGTCAAAGGCTGACATATTAGCAAAGTTTGCAAAGAAGAAAACAAACACAGAATAAATAAACAACAGTGTAGAATTTGAAAAGGTGCCCAAAGGATCAAAAACTTTTCATGTGAGATTTTGTACACGTTAGTGCTGACTATTCTGATTTTTCATTCCTCGCCATACAAAAGCCTGATAAAACCATGTCTAGCACACCTGAGCAGGGAGGGGAAGTGCTGTGAAGCCATAGGACAATGCTGGCACACATCCACAGGGCTTCAGTTTTCCACCAATACATCTTAAGACAAAAATTGCTATCTGGAGAAGTTCTGGAACTGCCTTCCAAAACAAATAGCTGGTGCAAAAAGTGTTCTTGGTAAGGTAGAAGATGAGTGATTTTTAGGAGTGCTTGATCTGTCAGAGAGACCTTGGGTAACAAGAACCTTCTTATTTCATCTATAACATCAGATCACAACTCTCCTACAAGTGTGTAATGGGTACATTATAAATCACTGCAGTGAGTACAATGCAATGGAGATGTGAAGCAGAGCAGAGTTGAGACATAAGCACAGTTCTGTTTACAGTCCATTGTCATAAAGCTTTCAGAAGATCCTTGCTAAGTAGGATACCCTGGAGCCCAGGGCTCTACTGAGAGTATGTTTTTTATAACTTCACACTATGGAGAGAAGTATTCATCACTACATAATATTTGAGAATACAAGAAACAATATATAAGATGTTTGATAACTTCACAAAATCACTTAATGTTAACACTGGAAAAGGCTTTGCTTACTGAACAGAAAAACCTCGATCCATAACGCTCACAGCATGTGTGATAAACCAGTATTTAGACATTGGCTGGAACAACACACTACAATCAGAGAATACAGAAGACAAATAACTTATAACTGCTGGCAAAAAAAAAAAAAATACTGAACAGTTGAACAGCTGATCTCATGCTCCTGTGTGTTTCTCATTTCAGATCTCATAGTTTCTGAATTTCCTCAGAAGGTCTGACGGAGCATCGCCGGACCAGCGGAAACGCAAGTGCCAGTAATTCCCCTCTGAAAATCCTGAGGGGGAAAAAAAAAAAGAGAAAAACAACTAAATTATTATAAACATGCATAAAATTATATTTTCTTAAATGATACTTGACAGTCTTCCCAAAAAAAAAGGGTAAGGAGAAAAGTGATCAGTTCAGTGCTCTTGAGCAGCACTGACAAATCCGAGCACAGAGTTGGAACAGGAGCTCAAACCCCGACCTTCAGGACAGAGATCAGCTGGGAAGGGTCTGAAGGAGGACAGCAAGGGCTCTGGCAGTCCCTAAAGAGTACTCACAAAGGAAAACTCAACAAATTGCATTGACTTCATCTAATGAAGAAGATGGTGATGTGATAAATCTTCCTTTTCCTGCAAACTGAATGCTATGAGCAGAGCTGGTGCTCAAATCTCTTGTTTGAGCTGAAATAACCATGTAGGAGGTAGTCCAGAATTCATCCAGGCCAGCAGACAGGAACAGACAATGCCACAGTTTCAAAGTAAAACCCTATGTATAAATTTTTGCTGGACCAAAACAAAAATATTACCAACATCCTAACATCATGTATAAACATTGAAGTGCATATGCATCCTGTCAAATATATTAGTGTTAACTAATTATTAATTTATTTATATATTTACATTAATTTATCAATGTAAATATATGTCACTGGATAAATAAAGTATGCACTTGATGAGTTTGATGTTTTTCCCATTCAAATATCTGGAAAATAAATTTTAAAATAATTGAGAAAGAAGGTGCCTGCAAAGAAAATTCACCATTACAAAGAACAAGATGATGCCTTCTTTACTTCAAAATTTTACTGTTCTACAAAGGACACAGTGATGATTTAATTACAAAAAAAAAAAAAAAAAGGTAAATAATATTAAGTTACAGAGCATAATTTTTCAAAATCAAGTTTTCAGTTAGGTCCGAAATACAGTTCTTTGTAGAATTTTCTTATCCATTTTCTGCCTTCCACAAATGTTTGGGATTACATCAGGTTTTGCTCACCTCACAGTTCACCCCAATCTCCTGTTTGATCAAACTGGGGAGAAATGCCAGGACTTTGTTGAACAATAGTTCCGTGCTAACACAGGCCTAGGATGATGGAACTCCTGAAGGATCAGGCAGCCCATGGTGCTAAGGAAGCTTTGATCAGACCTAAACCACAGCCAGGAAGTGCTGACTGGTAGGGGACACTTTTGAAACACACATTTATTCTGGTGCATACACTACTTAGAAAAAACATAACTGTTTGAATAGAAGCCTTCAAGTCTCAGATGTTAGACCTCATTAACTCATCTGATACAAACTGTGCGAAAGTACTGAAAAATGGATAAAAAACCCAAGACTTAAAGATTTTACTTAACAGTTTTAAAATTTATTTTTTAAAAAGTCACTGAAAATAACTGCCTTCTCTTTTTACTTTTCATTTTCATATATCAGAAAAACAAAATTTTACATTTTGGTTGAAGCTTTTTTTTTTTTTTCTTCTTCTCCAGTTGCTGCTTTTACTAGCAAACAAACAAAGAAATTTGGGATAGGGAGGAAGAAGCGTCTGAAAACTTCAAAATTAAATAAGTAATCAAAAGCATAAAACCCAAACCAAAATGCCAACCCAAAACCACATTTAAAAAGCTACAAGCTAAACACACTGTTCTGGAGGAGACTTTCTCATGACTGAATGCCCCTGTTTCAAGCCAATCCCTGGATGCTGCAATTTTCTGTAACTGCTGTTTTCACTTACTTGGGGAGTCTGGGTTCTTTGAAGACTGTGGTTGCACATCAGGACTTGCAACATCTTCCTGCTCCCTGCTCCCTTCCAGCAATCCATCTCCCGTCTGTTGGGTCCACATCTCATTGGTCATGTTGTTGGGATTGCCAAAGTCAGGAGCTTCCAGCATTTGGTCCTTCTTACTTTGGACAGCCCAGTGCATTGACTAAAGGAACACAAACATAACAAAGAATTAAACCCTGTGTTTTAATGGGCTTTTAATTACTTTCTGTTTCTTACATCACTGCAATAAATGGTTAAACTGAGAAGTCTGCAGGTCAACAGGAAGGAGGAAAGCAACAGCTGCCACCAACAGCATTGGAGAGGACACTTCGTGTCAGATGGGGTGAAGAACAAAATGTACATGAGAATTTTAAGGGCTTTTTGTCCAGTTTCTTCTGTCATGAATTCAAGCATTTTTTAAAAGGGCTTGAGTGGCTTCAGAAAGTTCATTTTCAAAGCTGTCCTTGACTTCAAAGTACCCTTTGAAGGCAAGGCAATTTGAAAAGACTTAATATTGAAGTCTGTGGAATAACATCTGTTTGGAACTGAACTAAGCTTAACTGGATATTTCCAGCAAACATTTAAGCTCAGGCATAATGCTGTAGTTGAAGTGTCTCAAACCTCTCTCCTAAACAGAATTGAGATGGGCAGAATTGACATAGGAAACTTTTATTCACCTGCCTAAAAATATGACCATGTAGCCCTGTAACTATCATTCACTCTAATAAGGCAGGAAAAAAAATAATCCAATATTATGGAATTGAGCACTACTAGGGACATGCTACCAAATCTTCTCAATAGCAAAATCAGGAGGAATTTTATATATAAAAGATTCCTGCCTCTGTCCTAGGTACCACAGCAGCCCAGCAGGGCCCCTCCAAAGCTCTGTGGGAAGCCCAGGGTCTCAAGGAACTATCTTCTGGATTTTGTCAATGGGATCTTTATTTAATCAGACACCATCATCTGATAAGCAGTATACCAAAAGGAGAATATATTACGAAAAGGTCCTAGCTTTAACATAACTTTGAAAAGAAATAAAAGTTTCCTACAAAAGCAAAGTGTATCGAAGCATTTGAAAACAGCCCTTAAACTACTTAAAACTTTCTATAACACACATAAAAGCAGCAATTTGATAAATTCACTCTAAAACTACTGGCCTAAAGCCCTTCTGTGAATGGGCTTCTGAAGCCCTGCAATTTTTCCTGAATTTCCTTAACATCCATAGTGCAGGAATGTCTCTGCACGACTCCCACCCCCAGACCCCGGCACTGCAGCAGAACTCAGAACCATAACTCATCCCCTCACTCTCTGCAATCTTTGTTCAGGGCCAGCCCTCCCTCCCCCCACTCCTGAGGGCCCAGAGTCACCACCAGCATGGACCGTTTTCACGGAGCTGCTCAGGGCCTCCCACTGCTGGAACGGGATGGAGACTTTGCTCCGGCGCCAGAAATCGTAACGCGCACGGCTCTCTTCGTTAGTCAGAGTCTCCTTGGCTTGCTGCAGCTTCTGGAAATTCTCCACTAGACCAAAAAGACACCAAAAACAATGTTTGTTTGGCAAAGAAATGATGCAAAAGGGGACCTGGCAGCCGCAGCTCAGAGAAAAGTAGAGGAGAAGGCAGAAGGAGAAGCAAGTGGCAGGGGATGTGGTTCTGGTCCCAGCTTGCACAGTTCTGCGTGGCTTTAGGATCATGGCATCTTAGGTGGATTTGCAAATCAGAACTGAAATGTTCCTTTGTCTACCAGCTTCAAAAGCCCACAAATTTAGGTTGAGAGAAGCTTAGAGAGTACACAGGAGAAAGGCACAAGGCAGCCCCTGCCGACCACCTTACAAGGGGAAATTAGAGCAGCACTGCTTAGAAAAAACACACTGAGATCTACAGCAGTAGAGGCAGAGCAGAGCAAAAGCAACCATGAGCAGGGAGAAAAAATGATAAGCAGGAACTGACAAACAAGAAGAATAATCTAAATATAGTTCAGATTAATTAACTTGTGCATGTTATGAGGTGTGTTTTCTACGTGCACTAAAATGTTATCCAGACACTGAATGAGAGCTCTTGCTTTTCCCTACAGGGTAATTCTTCATGGAATGGTTACTAAGGATGCAGCTGCATGTTACTATTTGTGGAAGGGTTATAAAGATTTACACTTTATCTATGACTCACCTATGTTACAGTTCTCTATTATTATTACAATCATTCATTTATTCCAGTTTACAAATTAGAGAGTTCTTTTGAAATACACTACACCCAAACACTAATCAAAACTGATAACTGCAAATCAAACATGAGACTGAGGGAACAATTGGATTAGGTTTTCTTATTCTAGTGTTACTAGTTTTCAACAAATAAAAAGTCTAATTACTCTTTATTAAGCTTTAAGCTGATGAAATAAAAAACACAAAGTAAATTCCCACTAGTACTGTAAAAAGGTATTTAAAGTAAATAAGGCATGTTCAGGTAAAGACAGAACATAAGATTTCTTTGTGACATGCAAAGCTGCTCTGATATTTGGCACTTGGCTGCTCTTTTTTGTAGCTCAGCCTTGGTGAGCTCTGCCTGGGGCTCTCTGTGATTATGACTGGCTCCAAATCACTCAGGTGCTGCTCAGCCCTCCCAGCTCTGAGGAGCTGCCCTCCTCATCAACACAAACATCAGCTACTGCTCTGCAAACAGAGGCTCCTCGTGGGGCTGCCTTCTCTTCACTTCCAGTCATTAAATTCCATTAAAAGAAAATAAACCACATTTTATGTGTTCCTCATGGGCTTGTTCCTGGCAGCAAATTAACTGATTGACGCAAGTGTGGCACTGGAAAGACCCTGAGCGTGGAACTGCACCAACTCCACAGGTCCAGGAAGGGACACGCTCCAGAAATAAATTCTGTGTTAAAAGATGATCTACTGAAGAAAGAAAAAAATAATGCAAGGTTCTAGAAATCAAAAAAATCCAACAAGTGTCTTCCTGCTCTGTCACAGAGGAATGTGCAAGTCTTAGAAAGAATATCACAAGCTTGCTATTTAAATAGAACATGCTCAGTGTGCACAATGATTGAAATATATTGAGGGGGAATAAAGTTTTAAGGCTGAATCTTGGCCATGCTAATAGAAGAAAAAAGCAGATTGTTTTTACACAGGAAAGGATACATACCTGCTTTGGGGTTTCCAGGATGCTTGTCAGGATGACATTCGAGGGCTTTAATCTTATATTCGGCTAGAATCTGTTCAACCTAAACAAAATATTGAAACGAAGTGAGTAAGCACAAAAAAGATTTGCAACTTTTCTTTTTGAAAAGAGGCTGGAAGGAACAACAAAGAATGCTGAAAGAGTCTGTCCTGTTCAATTTTACAAGCAAAGTAGGTAACAACAACCATCTGCCACCAGTGACACTGCTTACTTAATCTCATTTCCATGCACTCATCCTTAGTCTTGTTTTTGTGAGGCTCAGTCATCCAATATGGATATGCAAAGACATTTGACCACAGAGGAAAAATGCATCACTCCAGCTGCTCTTTACTTTGTTTAATCAACTCTAACTTTTAACAAAGTCTCACAGCGAGAAGCAAAGGCTCTCTGCATTGCTGAAGATCAGTTTGTGGGTTTAGGTGGCTTCCTTCATATCCTCTTCATAGGAAATTCAGCCAGCACCCCATGAGGTTTCCATCTTGGATACCCCAAGATAACTTGCTCGATAACCAGTAGTTCACACTCTTCCTTCAAGTTAAATTTCCATGCAAGAAGTTTGGCTTGGAGTAGAATAGATTCGTAATCAACATTAGAACATTGGCATGGATTACTTTATCAGTTAATTGCAAATTCCCACAGTTTGTTATAACAAAGTATTACAACCACTGGAAAAACTAAGACATAGTAACAGTTAAAATACAGGAAGCCACTGGAGTGGGCAGCAGCTTAGATTTTCAAATGCTTAGTGCTTTTCCAGGTATCTTGCTGGTTCTTGCAATTCAAAAGCCAAAACCTCTTTATATCATTCCAGTTCAGCTCAAGCTTTCACAATTTGCCCTAAGGCACCAAATAATTACCATTCTTTCCCCTACTACAAAGGCTGTTTATACAAATTCCTCATTAGTCAAACCATGACAGCCACATACAATTTAAATTATTCCAAATTAAGTATTGTAATATTTTTTATTTAGAATAAAATTACAGTTCATTCAACCAGCTGTACAAATTTTGTTGGCATCACATTCTGGGAAAAAAAAATGTGGCCTACGGTATTATCTTAAGAAATCTGCACTTTTCATCTGCTCAGTAGCTCCTTCCAGAGGGACAGATGAAATGTGGTGTATCTGCAGTCAGTGAGACACTTTAAAACACCTGTAGAGAGAACTTGGTGAGCCTGGTTACTGTATAGCCAGCTACCATCTCAAAAACTTAGTTACTTCAGGGGGAACTTGAAAGTTCAAATTGGTACAGAGGGTTAAAATGTAGCAGAAGGGTAGCACGGAAGTCCACAGTTTAAAATAAAAATCAGTAGAAAGAAAAGTTTATACAACATACATGAAATTAATATAAAATATACAGTGAGGTGTTTTAGCAAGAAAGATCTCCAGTACCCACTGTACACAAATGGCATTGCTCTTGAGGAAGGATGAGATTAAATCTCCCCTCTTCCTGTCACATCTGAAGATGAAGTAGGTGTCTGTGAGCTCAACTCTACCAGAAGCCAAGAATTAACTTGGTTTGTGTTTACTTGAATACAGCAAAAAATCTGTAGAAACTGAGAGCATTCCTGCTTAGATTTAACCAGGTCCAACCAAGAGCAGGATATTCAGCACCTAGATGAAAGTGTTGCAGCTGGGAGTGTGCTGTGTGTGCCCACAACAGCCTGTGCCAAATGTTTGACTCCTATACAAAGCAGTGAGTCTTCAAAACCCCTGTAGTGCTCCACATTTCTGTGAGACCCCAGAAGAGCTGTGCAGGGTCCTGAGGTCAGCTTGGGATCTCTGAGTTCTTTCTCTTGTGTCAAAAACAGTGCAGCAACATCTGCTGCTTCTCCCAACAAATAGTACTTGACAGCTTGTTTTTCAGGACCCACTAGCATTTATTCCAGCTCTTTAATTTCATTTTCAAGCGATTTGGAAAAATCATTCTCACATGTACTTGAACAGTTCATTAATTGCTAAGCCCTTAAGGAATTAGTGTGAGGCAGGAAACGAGAAAGAGCATCTGCGAAACAAGGCTGCGTGGGGACCTGAGCACTGCCCTCTGCTGGGATCACTTCCAGCTGTATCCTCAGGAAAAGCTTTCCATTTCTCTCTGGGACACACCGAAGATGTTTCCTCCTGATCTTTATACTTCACCACTAGGACAGGTGAGAGCATCTGGCTACATTTACTGAGCAAAAGACGGCATTTATCTCCACTGAATACATCCCTCATTACAGCAGAATAATCAAAACTCCTTTTCCAAATCAGAAACACAATTCCAGTTAATGTAACAGCTAAATTAAAAGAAAAAAATAATAGCACACTAGACTAGCAAAAGAAAAGCTGTATGGACACTTTTAACAGGATGCACACTTCATGTAGCTGCAAATCACTCAAAAATAGCTGAGCTAAATCTGCTGCATGTATCTGCTACCAAAACAAATTAGTAGAACTAGTGTTTGAATATAATTAAAAACATTTTTTAATTTAAAAAAACGCATTTAAAAAACATTAGTATGGTAAAAGATATAATGTTTTTGTTTTCATCTGAACCAGTGAATACATTTTAAAGCCTATTACAATACGTATAAAGCCCTAGAAACTCAGCAGCATTATCAATGCCCTAAAGCTATGAACTTCCATTGTATTACTTGTACATAAATAGCTCCTTTTCAGTTTTCAAAACCAATCATATATATTCCAAACTATTATCTGGATGCTGTCAAACACATGCAGTTGGCTCTCTCCATAATCCGGTCCTGTTCTACAGGGCATTTTCAACCTAAGCCTTACTCCTGGCTCTTAACGTCAGAGAAAACGCAGGAGGGAAAACTGAGCTTTCCAAGGGAGATCCCACAAGCGGCAAGAAAGAAGGTGCACGAGGCATTTCAAACATTCCTGCCCGCAGCTTCCTGCAGATTGACGAGCACGTTCAAACTGTGAATAAGCTGGCGCGGAGGGAGAGAGAGGCTCTTACCGTCGATAGCTCATCGCATCCCAGCAAGTTGTAGTAATCCTCCAGCTCCTCCGGGTTGCAGTTCAGGATGGCATCCATGGGCAGCGGCGCAGAGAGCTCTTTCCAGGCGGCGGGGAGGCTGTGGAACAGAGCGGCAAGGGAGCGCTCCCACGGGGGCCGGAGGCAGCCCAGGGCAGCAGGCGGCTCCGGGCGCGGGCCGAGCTCCGGCCGCCGCTTTTGAACGCTGCCAGCCCACCCGCACGGAGCTGCCCGCTGCCATTGGCCCCGCTGGCCGCGCCCAGCCGCTCCCGGCACTGCTCCCTGGGATTTGTAGTTGCCACGGGCACTCCCGCTGTGGCTCCCGGCCACACCGCAGCTCTGGACGCTGAAACGTGGCAGAGATTTCTCTCTCGCCGTCACCTGCGCAGCCACCGCAAACCAGGCCCACACCCAGAGGCTGCCTGCCCTGCACCTGAGCCATTTTCTGATCGAGTTTATTTGCAACTTTTGCCACCATCTTTGACCAGACGGTTAGATGGGGAATTATAGAAAAGAGAATTACTTCTGAAAAAAACAATGACGGGGGGCAAACTTTGGGGAACAAAGCACCAGCCTTGCAAAAGCCTGACAGAGGCCAGCCAGTCACCTCAACAAAAAGGGGGCAACCTTCACTCCCTGCAGGCTTCCTTGGGTGCACAAACCTCCAAACCAAACAGCAGCAGTACATCAGTCACACCTGACAAATTAAAACTACCTGAGGACATGAAACACTCAGTGTCTAGCAAATGAAATATTCTTTCTCATGCTAAATTACTTTCAGACTGGGTATTGAAGGTCTGCACTGTGCGCAAAACAGGTTCCTTGTGAAACTCATTTTACATTGAGGTGAAACACCTTAATTTTAAACTATGATTTATGACCAAGGCCTCAGCCCAACAGAGACTCTGGACATCTTTGGTGTCATCCATGATCTGTTGATTTCAAAAGATTACTTCCTAAGCATAATCACCTGCTGACGTTTTCCCCTGAAGCCTTAGGAGTTCTGGTTTTACGTTTCCCACCCCTGCAAGAGCTCTGCAACCCGAGATGTTCCATGTCATTAAATCCTGATGCTTCCTTGACACTTACAAATAGATACTGTGAGTAGTTACACAGTTCTAGATGCTGTGACCCTGTAGAAGAACAGATCCCTAGGATGTGACCAAGACTGGAAAAGGCCATGTGTGAATCAATGAAGGACCCAGTGGCATTCAGAGCTATTTAGGAATAACAAATATATAATTTTCACATCCACAAGTGCTTTAATATCTGCATTCATAATGTTCTGCAATGACATTTAATATGAAGCTTCTGCCATTTTCTCTTCAAGGTTGCATTGTCTGAAATCTGCTTTTACTGCATGTTCAGATAGCCCACTAAGATTATAAAATATACTAAGTAACCAAAAGCAATAATATTAAAAGAAAGAAGTGCAATCCTTGGTGAAACCATTTCAATCTGATAGAAAACTCTACCAACATATTTCTCTGAGGAAATAAAACAGTAGAATTTTTTTTTCAATGTCACTACAAGTGGAAGAATTAGCAATTACAAATCTCTCCATCTCCACCATTCATAATTTAATAACCAGAAAATACAGTAAAGAAAGTCAAGTCTTTTAATAACAGAACACATAAATATTTAAATAGGTTGTACTCTGTGGGAGGACAAAAAACAAACAGCTGTCCCTCCTCCCAACAGCATTCCTGTTTCCAAGTATTTCCAAGTATTCCTTGCATATTTGCCTAAGGTGAAAGGGAAGCTCTTTAACCCTTTTCCCCTGTGGCTTCCAGCGGTGATTTCCGTGCTGCCAGGTCCTGGGGCGGCACTCCACTGCCAAAGCTGGGACCTGGCAGCTGTGTGTTCCCAGGAAACAAGCTCCCCGGAGCCTCAGGGCAGTGCCCACACCGTGCCCCTGAGAGATCCCTGGTGCTTGGGGCACAAAGGCCATATGCATCACACAAAGATTAGCCCCAGGACATAAAGTTCATTTAAAAGGGAATTGCAGCACAGGAGATGGCACAGACTATTGCCTACACATGTGGTTGGTGTTGATCAGAATGTACAAACTGTTCTGGAAGTGAGGAAATCTCATATTTGTTCTCTGTACCCAGCCACCAACAGAAGCCGTCTCTCAGTTCTGACACAAATTGACAATTCTATTTGTTTAGAGCCTAGAGCAAATCTAAATTCTGCTTCAATGTAACGGGACATTTACCAACAACTTGCAAAAGTCATAAATAACCCTTTGAATAAAACAGCAAAGTCTGGAAATCTCTATTTGAATTTATTCCTATAAAGTGCATCAAATATTCTAGGACCAGTTCTCAACTGACTTCATGGGTTTTACTTCCAGAGGGCAGAGAACACATTTACGAGAAGTGCAAGGCACAATATTTGAGTTCCATCCTTGTCCTCACACACAAGCTCAGAGCTGCAGGAGCAGAAGAGGACCCAAGCACTGCCAAACTGACTTCCCACAGTGCGGGTAACTGCTGCTAACGCAGTGTCTGCAGGATCAGAGGAGGCTTTAGGATTCCCGAGCCACTCCCTCACAGAAAGCCTCAGATCCTACATCTGCACCACCTGGATTATTTCTTCCTTAGAACTCTCTTCCCATAAATGACCACCAAACCAATCTTAAAGCCCCGCCTTCCCTTTATATGCTGACAAAAGCACCTTGCTCTTGCTTTTTAAGAAATAGGACTCTTGCCTCAGCTTCAGAGGCAAGAAGGAGAAAGGATGCTTGCGTACAAAGTTCCTTAGAATAATAAAAACTTTCTGATCTGCTAACCCTGCAGCTTATTTGGAGAAGCAGGTAGCGTGAAAAACATTATGTACAATATTTTTCAGGGTTGTTAACACCTTAAAAAAACAGAGGGGAAACAAAAACAACTAAACCTCCCTCCCCCTACAAAGACCTCCTATAAAGTTAATTATCCATAAAGTAACTCCTTTTAAAGTCGTATGTATCAAAAATTTTAACCCCGAGTTTTTTTAAAAGCTGTTGGTTATCAAGACCTGCAAGAGGGAAATTCCACCTGCCTAACCTGGGTCTTGCCACTAAATTTAGGAATTCCATTGTATTAAATCCACTAATACTATTCTGCAAAGAGCTCGTGATGCCTAACACTAACAACAAACCAATATTTAAATTTCTGTCCTCGAAGCTTACACCAAAATTCCGTGTTGGTGGCAGTCCCGGGGAAAAGGCCGAGTTCTATCCAGTCCGAACTCCCAGGGGGAAAGAAACTACACCACGGAAAGTCCACGCGTGGCACCTCCTGTTGGCTGAGCAGGGACGGTCCCGGCGGGGCACCAGGCATTGCTCCTACACCCCACGGGACAAGAGATCACCGGGAAACCAGGGAGACCAGCGGCTCACACCCCTGCAGAGCACGGGAAACACCGGGAATTTGGGGCCGTTATTCGAACAAATCCCAACTCTCGCCGCTTACCATCAAGTCCCTCCTACACCGCGCAGGCTCCATTCCCCAAGCAGCAGTGCTTTAGACAGGTGCTGACCGCCCAAAAGAGCTCCCTGCATCCCGGGAGCTCGAGTACCGCGATGCAGAATCCCAGGAGGGCTAACGTGTTATCCCGCAGGATGAGGGGCAATAGCTTACAGCTGTGCGCTCCCTTAGCAGGCAGGCAGCGGCCGTGCCCTATGAGCGCCCTCACCCTCAGCTCAGGGAGGCCGCTCCGAGCCCCCGGCCCCGCTCCGCGGCTGGGAACGCGCTCAGGGGCAGCCCTGCCGGGTCGGTTCCCCCTGGCCCGCTGCCGCACAGCCCAGCAAGAGGCTCCGCAGCGGGGAGCTCGTTCCCGGGAAGGGGCAGCGATACCCTGACGGAGAGCGAGCCCTGAGGGTTTCTCACGCGGCTGGCGAGGAGCGAACAGCGGAACCGCCATTTGCCGGGAGCCGTCGACCGGGGAGCGCGGAGGAACCGCGGCCGGGCTGTGAGCG